TTTTCTTACAGGGGACAGCTAGACATGTGAATATGTGATGCTGAATATTAGAAGATTGTGCTATGCTTGAGTTGTTTACCATAAGGTCAATTTCGTACCTTCTACGTCCCGTCTACGTCTCCTCTATGCGTACACCATACACTTTAATACATTAAATCTACGTCAGACCAGCTCCACAATTCCAATATTGTGTAGTAGTAGGCATCCATCAGTCTCAGGAGACTATGGAGTTGCGCTCTGATATTGTGTAATACTGTGTAATTCTGTGCAATACTGTGCAGTACTCAGTTGCTCACTAGACCTATGCTGGGGAAATCAGGAAGATGATGACACGCTGCAATATTCCGACCACTAAAATGTCTACAAATAATGGACCTCAATACAGACAGTATGCCACAACATCACAGCTCAAACTTAGACACATAACCCACACATTAGTAAGGAAAGTCAAGTGAAAGGCGAGAAAGTACAAACAATGAGATCGAATTTGCATAAGAATAAAGAACTTGCAAATGGCTTAGCCTAGAGCTTCTCTAGGCTCTAGGAGTGCCTGGAGAGGCTCTAGGAGTGCCTGGAGAGGCTCTAGCAGTGCCTGGAGAGGCTCTAGCAGTGCCTTGAGAGGCAAAAACGATGACAGATCAGCTGTGTGATCAGCCATCGGATGAGAGCAACCAGCTTCCACACTGTGTTAACCGAGCATCACCCATACTAGAGTCTGGTTTTAATTTCACCACAAATCGTGATATTCACCCAAACATTACAGGTGACCTAAAAGGTTCGTACGAATAATAATTAAATTACCATTAAAGAAATCATCATGTAACTGATGAATGTTCTATGTTCCTATTCAATATTAAAATATTCATATTCAAATATTCTAAAAAAATTAATGACAAGAATTAATCAATTACCATTTATTAATAATTGTTATATATATATATATATATATATCCTTTCTTGAAGGTTTACACAACATGAGGCACAAAAATATGCAGAAAATGTATTGAAATTCATGTAATTATTTTTCCTGTCATTTCTTGTTTATTCCCCCCAGCGTGATAATCCATTAAAAATAAAATGCCAAAAAGTCAGTGAAATATGGGATGTTTTGCCAGATGGGATAACTCCATCAGTCATCGACAACAGGCATGACAGACACTGGCTCGAGCCCCCTCACAAAAACAGGTTCGAAATAACTGAACCAGCAAACGAATATACAAGGCAGGGGGGGGAGTGGGAGGGGGGAGGGGGAGACTAGGGCTCTCATGTAAACATTTCCTTTTCTAGTTTTTCTTTGATTTTTAAAGTTAGATTAATACTGAGGAATGGATACTGTGGATTATTCTCATGTCCTTATAAAAGGATTATTCTCATGTCCTCATAAAAGGATTATTCTCATGTCTGCATAAAAGGATTATTCTCATGTCCTCATAAAAGGGATTATTCTCATGTCTTCATAAAAGGATTATTCTCATGTCCTCATATAAGGATTATTCTCATGTCCTCATAAAAGGATTATTCTCATGTCCTCATAAAAGGATTATTCTCATGTCCTCATAAAAGGATTATTCTCATGTCCTCATAAAAGGATTATTCTCATGTCCTCATAAAAGGATTATTCTCATGTCCTCATAAAAGGATTATTCTCATGTCCTCATAAAAGCTGGTTAATCAAGCCGTCAAACGTCCTCTCTATGAAGGAAGAACATTTTACACACGACTCAAATGATAACGTTGAAATATTTATCGAATAATGGTTCAATGACGTCGACTGTTCGAATCACGAGACAAGAAATGCTTTACATACATGTACTATAAATACTAAAGCCTGTCCTCATTAACGAGGGCCAGAAACTCGTTAATTCACCCACCAAACCTCTTGTTCGTGAATACAAAGCACTTTACACACGACTCGCAACTGATGACATGAGTATTTGTTTCGAAAAGTGATTCGTTGCCTCAGGTCCTCGTTGGTTCATGTCCTCTACACGAGTCGCACCTCTCTGAATGCTGCCTGTTCTCATCAACAAAGGGCAAGTACGTGTTAATCCAGCAGCCAAACCCATGTTTATTAATGAAAAACGCTTTTCACATGTCGCACAACTGATGACGTTCGAACATTTCTCGAACTGAGCTTTGCTGACCACCTCTGTTCGAATCGCAACTCTGTAAATGCTTCACCCACGTACTTCAAATACAAATAATTGACAATAGAACAAATCCACAAGGGCCGTGACGAGGATTCGAACCTGCGTCCGGGAGCATCCCAGACACTGCCTTAATCGACTGAGCTACGACAGGGTTAAAAGGGTTGAAACCGAAGTTCTACTGAACTTACTGTGCCTCGGAGAGGCTACGGGATCCAGTAAGTTCAGTAGAACTTCGGTTTCAACCCTTTTAACCCTGTCGTAGCTCAGTCGATTAAGGCAGTGTCTGGGATGCTCCCGGACGCAGGTTCGAATCCTCGTCACGGCCCTTGTGGATTTGTTCATTTGATGCATCACGTTAGTGTGATCTCTGTGTGTGAATTGACAATAGACCTTGAACACCTAACGTAACCTAACCTAACCTTACCTAACCTAACCTACTCCTAACTATACATTAAACTTTAATAAGGGTGTCCCAGAATTAAACATTTCCTTGAAGTCGGACATATCTATTAAAAATCTACATAATTTCATGTTTTTATCTAATCTTGATACAGAAATAAATAGATTTATAAATCATAAGTTTTTTGAGAACTTTCTTTCAAGTTAAGAACTTGAGACGGGCATAGTCTAAGGATAGGTTGATGTCCCTTTTGAGGATAGGTTGATGTCTGGTTCATGTCTGATGCCTGACAGCTGGGTGGACAATGCTTCGGATTCGTAGGCCTGAGGTTCCGGGTTCGATCCTCGGTGGAGGCGGAGACAAATGAGCAAAATGTTTATTTCACCCTGATGCCCCTGTTACCTAGCAGTAAATAGGTACCTGGGAGTTAGTCAGCTGCTACGGTCTGTTTCCCGGGGAGTATGTAACAAAAAGGAGGCCTGGTCAAGAGCCGGGCCGCGAGGACGTTAAGCCCCGAAATCATCTCAAGATAACCTCAAGATTACCACAGTGTTACAAAATTACTAACTAAACAGGAGAATGGGTTGCTCTCTCTCTCTCTCTCTCTCTCTCTCTCTCTCTCTCTCTCTCTCTCTCTCTCTCTCTCTCTCTCTCTCTCTCTCTCTCTCTCTCTCTCTCTCTCTCTCACTCTCTTCAATGTGTACTGTTCATATTACACAACATTTTCAAGAAAGTTATTTTCCTGTTCCACGACACTTATAACCAAGACCTTTACATACAGAGACACACTTCATATCAAGACCTTTACCATATTCCAATATAACCAAGACCTTTACCATATTCCAATATAACCAAGACCTTTACCATATTCCAACATAACCAAGACCTTTTCCTCCGCCATATAGTGATCATTACGCATAAAACAATCCACACCAATATTCCAGTGCTTCTCCCACACACGTCAGCAAGAGCCGACAATTATATTGTGTCAGGAATGAGTTGTGAATACACTTGGGATATGTATACAGAGATGTGTCTATCCCTCTGCTCGGTGTATATACACTGAGAGTGTATACTTTAGCCCTGGACTTTGTTCAGGACTACAGTATACTGTATTTGCTGGTTGGGCAGTTAGCAGTTGTGGTGGCCTTAATAACCCTTCAGAGGTAGATTGGCATTTACCCCAACACCAAAGCAATAGTTTGAAAGTATTTTGTAGTTGAAGCTTGGGAGCCTTACCCCTTTTGTAGGAAAAAAAAGTTACTAAGCTTCTTACTGAGCCATCAGTCTTATTGTTGTCATCTACATGATTGCTTTTAGAGATACAGGCGATATAAGCAAGTCCTTTACATACAGGACTTGACAATCGACTTGAAAATGGTAAAGGACGGACCGAACGTCGTCGTCCCTTCACCTTCTAGTGTGTGGTCTGGTCAACTTTTAGAGATATATAGAACCAGACACATTTAACTTTTTAGGCTTTTTAAGCCTTTGTGAGAAATTTATTTGACTTAGTAAAGCTTCTTTTTTTATGTTTAAGTGGAACACGTGTTGTTGTATAATATTATTTGGTATTGTTCTCCTCCCAACCACTTAGGGTGGATGGCAGAGCGTCGGTCTCGCTACATGCAGGTCGGCGTTCAATCCCCGACCGTCCAAGTGGTTGGGCACCATTCCTTTCCCCCGCCCCATCCCAAATCTTTATTCTGACCCTTTATGACTTTATTCTGACCCATTAAGACTATATAACCTTTCCCAGAGTTATATAGTCTTAATGGCATGGCGCTTTCCCTTTCCCCCTCATATTATATTAGAAAATATATCTCTTCACCTGTTATGTGATGGCTGGTATACTCCTCGTATCATTTCCTTGTTTACTTCAACGCTTGAGTTTACTGAAGTCTTCTCGTCGGGAATTTTGGGGAATTGAACTTTTTACTCTACTTTCCAATTGCAAATTGTTTCAAGGTACAATGGGGAGGAAAAAATGGGCGGTGGGTAAAGAGGGGAAGTGCCTAGGGGAATGGGTTATGAAGGGAGGCAGTAGATTGGGGAAGGGGAGGGGAAAGGAGGGAAGAAGAGCTTGGAAGAGGGAATTAGGGATTATAAATGTATGTTTACCGACAGTTTCATCAGTTACCGAGACATTAAAAATACCTTTCACTAAATGGTCCTTCCGCTAAAAACCGAAATGGTAGTTTCGTTATGTGTTCGTATCTGCACATGCGCCTCTGCATGTGCACCTGCGCATGAGCACCTGCGCATGAGCACCTGCGCATGGGGCCACTATCTGTAGTAGTCAGATCACATCCTGTGTTACTGAAGCAAGACCTATAAAACTGAGTGGTTTCAATATATTGACTTTGGTGAATTCTCGTTAAACTCGAAACCAATTTGATTACCATATATGATTGACATGGAATTGGCAAAGCGTCAGATCCAGCGACTCAATGAACGGACCGGGCCGGGAAGTACTGGGTGAACGGCAGTACCAGGCTCCCAGGGAAGTACTGGATGAACGGCAGTACCAGGCTCCCAGGGAAGTACTTGGTGAACGGCAGTACCAGGCTCCCAGGGAAGTACTGGGTGAACGGCAGTACCAGGCTCCCAGGGAAGTACTAGATGAACGGCAGGACCAGGCTCCCAGGGAAGTACTAGATGAACGGCAGTACCAGGCTCCCAGGGAAGTACTTGGTGAACGGCAGTACCAGGCTCCCAGGGAAGTACTTGGTGAACGGCAGTACCAGGCTCCCAGGGAAGTACTTGGTGAACGGCAGTACCAGGCTCCCAGGGAAGTACTAGATGAACGGCAGTACCAGGCTCCCAGGGAAGTACTGGATGAACGGCAGTACCAGGCTCCCAGGGAAGTACTAGATGAACGGCAGTACCAGGCTCCCAGGGAAGTACTTGGTGAACGGCAGGACCAGGCTCCCAGGGAAGTACTGGATGAACGGCAGGACCAGGCTCCCAGGGAAGTACTAGATGAACGGCAGTACCAGGCTCCCAGGGAAGTACTGGGTGAACGGCAGTACCAGGCTCCCAGGGAAGTACTAGATGAACGGCAGTACCAGGCTCCCAGGGAAGTACTGGGTGAACGGCAGTACCAGGCTCCCAGGGAAGTACTAGATGAACGGCAGTACCAGGCTCCCAGGGAAGTACTGGGTGAACGGCAGTACCAGGCTCCCAGGGAAGTACTGGGTGAACGGCAGTACCAGGCTCCCAGGGAAGTACTGGGTGAACGGCAGTACCAGGCTCCCAGGGAAGTACTGGGTGAACGGCAGTACCAGGCTCCCAGGGAAGTACTGGGAAATAAACATGGAACAGGAAATATTATCAATATTTCCTGTTAAAAGATTATTACAGCAAAAATATTATTTTACTGTAATAATATAATTGCAAAATAGATTATTACAGCACATTTAAATGTGCCATTCGATACGATGTTAGGATGAGGCTGCTCTCATCTCTATCCACACTCTTCCTCATCTCCCGTCACGATGAGGAGATGAGTTTGTTTACCTCAAACATCAGGAGAGTTTGTTTATCACATTTTATCTCCAAATCGTGCACAACCGCTTCAAAAAAAAAAAACACCTCAGTTTTGGGAAAGGGAGAGAGAAAATGGTCAAAGAAACACACATGCAAATTTTGTCCTCTTCAAAGTAGCATCAACTCTAGAATTTTGGCCAAAGGATTTGCATGATTGGCGAAGTCGACACCGGATCGGAATCCTTGAGCTGAAGGTGATTGCCGAGTTGCGCCTTAAGGTGGTCGATCAATACTCATTTGTATTTTAATAAGAAAATCGATGATTACCCTACTTCGTCACAAGGGTACATGCTGAAATGAGGTCAGGGCGGTGAGGGAGAGGGGGAGGGAGGGACGTGTCTATCACCACGACCAGTGAGGATCAGGATAACCTGATCAGGATCAGGATAACCTGATCAGGATCAGGATAACCTGATCAGGATCAGGATAACCTGATCAAGATCAGGATAACCTGATCAGGATCAGTATAACCTGATCAGGATCAGTATAACCTGATCAGGATCAGTATAACCTGATCAGTATGAGGATAATACATGATTTGTTTACTATTTATATGAAATAATAAGTATATATATATATATATATATATATATATATATATATATATATATATATATATATATATATATATATATATATATATATATATACACACAAATTTATGAGAGGAAACCATTACACAGAAATTTGATATTCTCCTCACTGGGAAGAATACTTAACTCATAGGTATTAACGATAGCAAACCCTCCGAATTATTTCATCAGTAATTGTAGTGGCATGTGGTGCAATGATTGACGCGAGTGAGGCACTTTTCCAGCAAGTGTTGCCCACTTGGGGGACCACTTGTGACACACTCATAACTGCCAGGAAGTCTTGGCTCCACTGTATATAACCTCTTACCTTCTTCCATCGCGTCTAATGACTTGCCCACAATCTCAGAACCGATCTGAAGACGAGTCGACCATCTCAAGATGTGTTGGCAGCCCCGGATTTTGTCTAAAGCCTCAGGATGTATCGACGACCCAAGCATGTGTGTCGATAAGCCCAGGATATGTTGACAGCCCCAGCTTGTGTCAGCAGCCTCTGAATGTATCGACAGCTCATACACGCGTCGACAACCCCAATGTCGGCGTCTCCAGGGTGTGCCGACAGCCCCAGGATGCAATTCGTAGATTCAAAAGATGAAGAAGATCTGTCCCCTCCCAGGTTACAGCCACTACCCTTCAAGGCTCCCAATACACACCTTTACACACCACGTATTCCTCAGACCAGAATATTTTTGCCTCCAGAGGAAGGAGTTTCGCGATGGTTGTCATGCGATTTTGTTTGATATTTTATTTAAATAAGAACTATGGATTATTTATTGAACTGTTTCAATAAAAACAATGTTTTTTTCTCAGCAATTAAATACAATTGAAATATTCTTTATTGAGACCAAATCCCATATATTCGAAGTCGAATATATGGGATTTCGTTGTCGGATATATGCTATCGTTGAAGTATTCTGTGTATATACTAACAGGTTTATATTAACAGGGACAGTTAGAAGTATTTTCTACAGTGCAAACCACAACAGTTGCCTAAATCCCGACTATTTTTTTTTTTTTACTGTTAGGTGAGCATAGGCATTAGAGGTGAAAGGAAACGTTGCCCAACTGCTACTGTCCTGCCTTGGGAATTGAACCCTGGTTCTTTCTACTGAAACCCGACGGCGCAGGCCACTCCGCCACGAAGCCCTATGTAGTAAGTATCTCAACATGCGGGGAAGAAATAATCATGTTCAGTAATAATCTTGAGCAAGACCTCTAATTCTTAAGTTCGAACCTTCTTCACAGTCAGGGAGACCGCATTCCCTCCTCCCTATATGAAAGTAATCCCTCCTTGTATGAAGGTAATCCCTCCTCCCTACATGAAGGTAATCCCTCCTCCCTACATGAAGGTAATCCCTCCTCCCTATATGAAGGTAATCCCTCCTCCCTATATGAAGGTAATCCCTCCTCCCTATATGAAGGTAATCCCTCCTCCCTATATTAAGGTAATCCCTCCCTATATGAAGGTAATCCCTCCTCCCTATATGAAGGTAATCCCTCCTCCCTATATGAAGGTAATGCCTCCTCCCTGTTTGATGGTAATCCCTCCTCCCTGTATGATGGTAATCCCTCCTCCCTATATGAAAGTAATCCCTCCTCCCTATAGGAAGGTAATCCCTCCTCATTATAGGAAGGTAATCCCTCCTCCCTATATGAAGGTAATCCCTCCTCCCTATATGAAGGTAATCCCTCCTCCCTATATGAAGGTAATCCCTCCTCCCTATATTAAGGTAATCCCTCCCTATATGAAGGTAATCCCTCCTCCCTATATGAAGGTAATCCCTCCTCCCTATATGAAGGTAATGCCTCCTCCCTGTTTGATGGTAATCCCTCCTCCCTGTATGATGGTAATCCCTCCTCCCTATATGAAAGTAATCCCTCCTCCCTATAGGAAGGTAATCCCTCCTCATTATAGGAAGGTAATCCTTCCTCCCTATATGAAGATAATCCCTCTTCTCTGTATGAAGATAATCCCCAAACGCTTCAGTTCACAACCGGGTGGTCCTGGCTTTCATTTCTGGGCAGGAAAATAAAGGTATGAGAAAATTTATCTTCTTATCTTCGGTGGCTCTGTTCGCCTTCACCCATCCTCACCTTGAGAGAGAGAGGGGGGGGGGGTGAAGGCGGTTTAGTCGACTATTGTGGTTTGCATCCTGGGAAACTACCAATCGTGGACTAGGTGATCCTCGATAAGTTTTACAGGCTAGCTTTTTCCGGAAATTGGAAACAGTATCATTAGTACGGAACTAATGGCGTAATTAGTTCGGAAGTATATATATATATATATATATATATATATATATATATATATATATATATATATATATATATATATATATATGTCGTACCTAGTAGCCAGAACGCACTTCTCAGCCTACTATGCAAGGCCCGATTTGCCTAATAAGCCAAGTTTTCACGAATTAATGGTTTTTCGACTACCTAACCTACCTAACCTAACCTAACCTAACTTTTTCGGCCACCTAACCTAACCTAACCTATAAAGATAGGTTAGGTTAGGTTAGGTAGGGTTGGTTAGGTTCGGTCATATATCTACGTTAATTTTAACTCCAATAACAAAAAATTGACCTCATACATAGAGAAAAGGGTTGCTTTATCATTTCATAAGAAAAAAATTATAGTAAATATATTAATTCAGGAAAACTTGGCTTATTAGGCAAATCGGGCCTTGAATAGTAGTCTGAGAAGTGAGTTCTGGCTACTAGGTACGACATATATATATATATATATATATATATATATATATATATATATATATATATATATATATATATATATATATATATATATATATATATATATATATATGACATATATATATATATATATATATATATATATATATATATATATATATATATATATATATATATATATATATATGCGGAAAATCCACAGAGAAATATGAAATGAGGTGAACGTTTCGGCTTTGTTAAAGCCTTTGTCAACACCAGACTGACTTTGAGTCAGTCTGGTGTTGACAAAGGCTTTAACAAAGCCGAAACGTTCACCTCATTTCATATTTCTCTGTGGATTTTCCGCATAAAATGATCAGTGTTTTGTGATCGTCAATTGCATATATATATATATATATATATATATATATATATATATATATATATATATATATATATATATATATATATATATATATATATATATAAGGATCCTTTCGGTCATATGAATATGACCGAAAGGGTAAGATTAATGATTCTAACATGAATCTTCTCAATATTTCTTATGTTTTTCGTCACTGTCGAAGGTAATTGAAAAATTAACTCTTCAAAGTTCATTTTCACACTTTATTTATGGTCTGACGCCTAGAAGCGTTTCGCAAGACACTTTCAAAGACAGTTTTTTACATACTCTGTTTCATGCTTATATTTGGTTTTGGGTGAGGTGACAGGACACAAATCAATGGGTAAAGATAATTCAAAACACGAATCAATGGGTACATTGCGTGTTTTATCTTCTTACTTCTGTGTTGGTTCGGGGTCTTCTTCAATACAATGAACCAACACAGCCCCTTATCCACTTGGCTTACACACAATCATAAGAGAAATATATACATGGGAAATTTACGTTAAATAATAATGGTGCAGATTATTATTTTATACAAAATGCTGTGTGTGTTTACTGTCATCCGGGGGGGAAGGGGCGAGAGTAGATGTTACAGCTGAGAGCACTCGAAGGGTAGTCTGTTGAGCTGGACGCTGGTAAACCCTTTTATATGGGGCATGACGTCATAGTTAGCGCGAATTCTGGAGTTAATCAATCAGCCGGCAGGTAAACGATCGTTAGCCGGTGACTGATGGCGTCTGGTCCCCCGCCAAGACAGCAGGTGTCACGGGTACTGGAGGGTAGACGGGGGGGGGGGGGAGGAGGTGTGTCTAAACATCCATACGTTTTGGGCACGTATTGTTGTTGTCGTTGATGTTGCGTCTTGATGTTGGAGCATGCAGATACGTAGGCGGTAAAGGGACACGCAGGAGATTACCGTAACAGTACCAACAGGAAACGCGCTGATTTTATATTAATTCCAAGTTCAGGAAGATTTATAAAGGCTCTTTCTGTGGAATTCCTTAACACTTGATACGCTATGCTCTTCCAGCTATCACATGAGTCACTTACCTTCCTTCAAGACATATTTATAATGCACTAATAAAGTGCAGTCAATCAAATATGTTGAAGAC